ATTCTTGCTTCCGTGTCAAATGACAATTATTCCCCGGCTGAAAATAATCTTGCACATTTGCAAAGTTTTCCAAAGTATAAGTCTCTCCGAATGTTTTACAAAACTAAGCAGTTATTTTATGACACATTTCTAAATGGTAGGCATACATTGAAAACCAATATTCCATGGAAACACGAATTACACGCCATGATTTAACATCTTGTATTGTACCTAATTAGCAGCAAAAACTCGAAGCAGTTATTTCCTGTGTAATATTATCTATCACCTGCATAGTTATTGAAATATTCACGTCTCAGATGAAAATAAAGAAAGCACAATATTTTCTGTTTTGTATATTTTATTCTTTCATGAAAAAGATCTTTATATATATATATATATATATATATATATATATATATATATATATATATATGTATATATATATATATATATATATATATATATGTATATATATATATATATATATATATATATATATATATATATATATATATATATATATATATATATATATATATATATAATGCACAACACCAAGAAGATATATATATCTTCTTGGTGTTGTGCATTTCACAGTTTTAAACAATTTCCAGAACCAACCCATTTTCAAGTATTGGTACACAAAAAATAACACGTTCTGCCCAAAATACTCCAGTGGTGCACTGTGCTTCCAAGAGATCAAACTCATTTTCTTTAGTCATCCCGTGTGCTACATTTGAGAGGGTTACCTTTAAAATGACGAGCTGAATATACCGAAATAATGAGCGAGCCGGACAGCCTATGGAAGGTAGATTGTTCTCAAAATAAAACCAAAAACAAAAGCCAGGAAATGAGGCGAGGGATTCCTGAGTGGCTCGGGGGAGAGCAGGTGCCTTCGTCAAGAAGGCAAGGTAGCCGTCCTCAGAAGAACTGTGAAGGTGTGGGTTTAGGAGAGGAGATGTCAATTTACTTGGCACACAACCTCACAGACATGATTCAATCCACAATGTTCCTCTGGGAATATAAAAATGTTTTTTCAAACCAAGCGGTCACTTCAGGTGCCAGGAGGTTCATGAGGGCATCAGCGTCACACTGCATAGTTTTGGCTCTTGTCCAACATTGGCACATCTCACCATGTGAACAACAAAATTAAAGACCATCAACAAAACAACCCTTCTGCCAAGTATGGAAGTTTTGTTTTTCTCTGGCTGTCTTTTTTTTATTTTAAGGAAGCACATGTACCATTGCTGACATTTTTCATTGGTGTGAACACAGCTTACACATTATAATCATACATGACAGGTTGAGATAAAGAGAAGACACTTAGTGCCTATTAGCTTCAATCCAACATATAAACACTGATGATTATGGACAAACACTCACTCAGAAACCTCTTAAATTCAATTTTTATTCTTATTATTTTTAAAATTCATATATTAAAGCAAACTAAAGACACAAGCTGCACATCTGCACTTCACTCCCTAAATATTAGTAGTGAGCAGGTGTGTTGTGCTTATGGCTCTGTTTGCTCGTGCCTGTAGTCGCATGATCCACGTGCGTCTCCCGCTCCCCCCAAACTAAATGAGTACACACTGCCAATGTGACACCGCAGTGACAATCAGATACCGGCCTGCTCCCTTCCCCTCAGGGGGAGGCTGTATGCTGGTGTGGGCTAGCTCAACCCCTGCTTTATGACAAGGACATAACCTCAGCTGTACTTTGTGTATGTGCAGGATGGAAAATGGCAGCGGGCAAGTGGAGTATTTACGCTACGGGATGTCCGGCTGGGATCTTGGAAAAAAAGTCTGTGAAATAAAGAGTCCTCATGCAGCGGGGTGATGGGATAAAATTAGGAAAAAGAATAATCATCTTTTCACAATGTTTGGCTCGCATCCAGGTTGCTTTCAAAATACGTCTCTATCAGTTTTTGAGAGGATTGAGTTTGTCTTCACCTTTACATTCATTCCTCTCCCTGTGACAGCCCTGCACTGTTAGTATTTGGCCTCCTTAAGCCTGAGCCGTGACTCGAGCTAGTCCAGCTCAGCTCTGTTGGGCCCAAAGAGGGCTTCAGAAAGTGTGCCACTGCATATCTAAATGTGACAGCCATCCCGCAGAAGCCTGAGCCTCCCTTTTCTTTCACCCGCGACTCAGCCTGGGACTGTGGCCGCCTCATGCCAAGCGTGGGTGTCAACCATGTTTGAAATTAGAAAATATTTAAGGGACAGTTCATGACCTGTAGAAGTCAAGTCTGGTTAAAAAGTTATCAGCAGACAATGTCTCACCCATAGCAGAAGAAACAGTAGAAATCTGCATTAGTCTGTCCTGTAGGATAAATCAAATGGCCAGTTCAAGAACGGCCAAAACTAAAGCAGACTTTTATAGTCTTAAAACAACTCCATTCATTAAATAGTTATAGTCATTTACTGTACGTCAACAGCATTTTACAAACCTTTACGTCACTGTCACATTTACACAATGTGGTTTTTTAAAACAAAATAAAAACATAATTATTTACCTAAGAAATGGAGATAGGAGGCAGTGCACCAACAGTTAGTTTCCTTTGTCAAACACATGCTAAGAATGAAACAAGTAAAGCCCTTCCTGTCAGAATAACCACCACAAAGAAAAGCAAGGCAGCATAAAACAAAAAATTGTTCATTCAAGCTGCTATATTTACTTGAGAGAAACTTTGACTTCAAATACGTTTGCATTCTCCATTCAGAGAACGTTTCACACAGGAAGACCAATGGAGGTGCAACACCTATGTACATTTTCAGAGCATATTAACCATCAGCTTCTTTTTTTAAATAAGAGCTTGATGTAAACATGCTAGCTTAATGGTTTATAAAACTCCATTTGAAAAAAACCTTTGTGGCGTTTTTGAGATAGGAGTCATTTTAAGATGGTAGACGTCTGCTGTTTCGACCCGTTGTCTCTTTTAGCTGTTAAGGTACCTTAGAGAACAACTAATGTGGATTTATACAGAACCAAAACAGCCAGAGTGTTATCTACTGCAGGGAAGACGTCACAGAACCTCACTTCAAAAATTCTGAACTTTGCCTTTCCATATTTTTAATTCCACAGATGGATTTGATCCGTCGGTTTTGTCATGTTGTTTGACTTTTAGCGCATTTTCTGCAGAACCTTCGGAGATTATTCTCCAACAGTGTTAACCCACTTCTGTAGTCAGGAGAACAATTTCAATTGGTTTTCAGAAATGTTCATTCATCTAAAAAAATAATCATAATATTTATTGTTTTTATATCCACTTTATCCTGTTTTGGGTCATAGGGTGGATGGGGTGAAGCCTCCTCTCCCAGCTGTCGTCAGGATATACTAGCTTTAGTCCAGCCTTAAGATAAAAGAAGCTATGCTTCTATTTTTGCATGTTATGCAAATGAGATAAAATGGCTTAACTGTTAAGCTTCAAAGGCAGTGGCAGTCGCACTTTTATTATTCTTTTTGGGCAATTCCTGGATGCCACTTCAGATCTAGAATACTGATATGAGACAAATGCTGCACTTCTCATTCAATTATCAGAAAGGTTTGCATTTAAATAGGAAGTTAAATATATAAACAGGTGAGCCTTGTGTGTATTCAATTTGTCTGGTGGGATAAAAATTAAAAAAAGAAAATCAAAAAAAAGAAACTGTCTTTGGAGGAAGAAAATTTCTGAAGTCAAATTTAGCTCTAATTCTGGTTTCCTCTCAAAACCAAAATTATGAGAGGAAATGCTCATTTACCATTTCTAGATAAATGAGCATTGGGTTGTTGGGCACCGATGTGTAGCTGACCGGAGCTCTTTACTCATGCATGTGTGCCTGCGTTAACTCTCGCTGGCTGTAAAATGAAGGAAGACAGGCCCGGCATGCAGCGAGAGCTACGACAGGCAGAGAAGAGAAGTGGGTCATCTATATGCCAGCCGAGCAGTCGGCATTAAATTCGCCCGCTTCCTGTTCTACTAGTCAGCCCCGACAGCGGAGAGAAAAAAAAAGTGAGAAAGGGTAGAGGATACTGTTGTACATGAGGAGTTTCTTCAAAGACAGATTCTTGTTTTTAGCTACACGTAAATAAAAAGGAAACTGCTCTTTGTCCTTTGTAGGCTACAGTGGTAGGAAGAAGCGTGGAAGACAAAGCTAGATGAAAATAGACAAGGAGGAAATAAAACAGGGGCCCTGAGATGGATTGATGCAGTCAATTCTACAACAGCCTGTCGGCAGAATAAAGTGACAAAAATGAGGTTAACTGTGCTTTCACTAGATTTTTCTCCAGATGTTCTTAGTTTACTGTGCTAAGTACAACTGATGGCTTCACAGAGCATCTCGTTTGTTGCATAATGCACTTGAAACCCAACACAGTGAGTTAGTTTGATTGTATAACTGTTTTCCACGTATAACGCCGGGGGTGAGACGTTGGATTCCTCTGCACGTCAAAGATTCAATCTGAACATGTTCATTTGTGCTCTGGTTCCAGTCCTATACCCACACGTGCCAGCACCGAGCATCTGGAAGAATTGGGACCGGCGACTAAATAACTGCATTGCACTTCAGTTTAAGGCGAAAACGTTTGCAGTGGAAAGCGATGTAAACTTAAGGCAGCATGGATCAAAGATCTAGAATTCCTTAAAAATGACTAAAATCTAAGTCACTCATTGCATTTCGTCATGTAAATAACCAAACAACATAAAACACAAGTGAATGCACCCTCTTCCAGCCTATAAATAATCACATTAGTAAAAAAAAAAAAATTAAAAATACCACTGGTATTTGTACACAACTTGTGCAGCATGTCTGCACACATACTCATATCTCGCTTAACCTCACCTACGGTCTAATCAGCTGGCTCCGTTAGCCAGAGTGTAAAACTAAAAATTCAACACTGCTTCTGTTCATTTTTGCATGTCAGCACAGTGAGACCCAAGCTATGTTTGAAGGTAGAATGGTTGCAGTTAATTGCAGTAAATTCCTTCCTCAAAAGGATCATCTGGTCCTTTCGTCTGCTGTGGTTTATTAACCTCTTGCTCGTGTTTGCCAGTCTTTATTTAACTGACATTGGGGATTATAGAAGCAAAGAATTGGGGGGGAAAAAATTAAAATTAAAAACGGATTAAAGCACTGAGGATAGTGAAAACGGAGAGCGAAACGTAAACAAAACATAGAGTTAAGGGATGAAGTAGAGCAGGTATCAAAGGCCAGTCTGGTCAGAGGAGCAGATCAGTATTTAGATGGGATGACCACCATGGGATCACCTTTCTTTGGCCGCCACATAAGCACCTGGGCGTCATTGGCGTTGGGCTTCACCATGGCGTTGGGGGGGATGGGTTCATTCTGGACCAGTATCTTAGGCTGTTCCTGGAACAGAGGCTCCTTTAAAACAGCCCTTTGACCCAGAGGCCTCTCTGGGTCCACCTGAATATGAAGCCGCATCCTCCAACGGATTGTCCGGAGGACGACTGTCTCTGAGGTGGCTTGGTTGATGGCAACCAGCCACGTGGTAAAGCTCTGGTCACGTCGGATGCTGCTGAGCAGAGGCACGTTGCTGTCGCTGACCGGTATTCCCCAAGTCACGCTGGGGTAAAAATTGTCGTTCATGCTGACTGTGAACTTGGTGTCCTTCTTGGTGGGCCCTACCACAGTGCAGGTCTCTGTTGTGTTGCCATACCATGGGTAGTTGACGCCATCTGAGTCACTGATTGCTTGGATCTTGCCATCATCCAGGTCTGGAAGCTCCCAGCTTGACCTGGATAATAGAAATAGAGACACAGATTAGGATTTAAAAAGAAACTCAGCTTTTTTTCTTTTTTTTTAAGTAATCAAGGGTAAATGTATGAAAACTGTACTCTGAAAATGTTTAGTTTATATGCTCCGATTACAATCTTTGAAATTATGGAGGTCTTATTTGAAATGCAAGGTGACACAACTCATATTTAGAAATCTGACAACAATCGGGCAGAAAGACATACAATGTCAAAAACAATTTAAATGAAAACTATTTCTTTCAAGGAGATGTTGGTTGTTCGTATAGGCTGCCTCAACAGGTTCTGGTCATTTCAATTTGACCTTCACGATTTTTTAGTTTTGTAGTTTTGATTATATCATACATGAAAAAGTCTGGAATGAAAAGAAGCCATCAGCCCAAGAACATCAATATATATTTTGTCAAATTGATGAAGGAGAACTGATCCAGCCAACTTCAGTCCATGATGGGAGAACGTGTAATGGCAAAGTTTCAACCTTTTAAGCTTGTAACAGCTGTTTTTCATTGAACATACTGAATTTATAACTACTGGCAGCCTTTTACAAATCTCTGCAGAATACAAATTGAGACAAATGAACACAGTTAGTAAAGCGAATCATAGGATAGGGGCCTGAAAAATGAGCGAGGAGAGTAACGCTTCACCATTTATAAAAGAGGTAGAACATGCTTATGTTTTATGAGGTGTAATTTTTTTTTCCTCAAAAATCTGATCATCCCTTGAAGTCTGACAAGTTTATAAAGCCTCAATTAAACAATGGCAAGCTAAAAGTAACAACTTTTGGTTCTGTCATAGTTCAGTTGAACTCACACTGTGCAGCAAAGTCTATTTTTTATCTCTTTTAAGTTGCTTCATCTTAGCGTGAGCTGTCCAGACAGATTGTCATGCACAGAAAAAAATAAATGAATCTGATAGACTTTTTTTAAGCGTAAAAGACAGAGTCACATCTCCCTCCGTCAATGCAAATCAGATAACACACAGCAGAAAACCTTGCAAGGCTTTGCAGTATTTAGGCCTGTTCAGCAACAGCGATATGCAAACGCATGCAGGTGTCCTCCAAGTCTCTGTTGTAATGATGCTGCCATTTGAAGCAGAATTTTCACAATGTGCAAAACAACAGTTCAGGTCATTTATGTTAACTACTCAAAGAAAATACAGCACAACTGATTGCGAAGCAGGCAGCGTGAGCTGCACAATCCAGACCACTGACTGATCTGCTGTTTGAGGACCTGAGCTGAAGAGCCGTCTCCTGCAGAAGGTATTGATCCGAAAACTTTTGGCTGGGTCACCTTGGTGCAGAAAATATCTCGTCTTTAAAAAAATAATAATAATAAAAGTTAAAAAAAAGTAAAAAGGATCCGCAAAGCTTGACGACTGTGGCAAAATCACCGGGAGAAATGTATCAACTGCACAAAGCCGATTCAAAGCCTGACGGCTTAGCTCTGGTTTTCTTCCTACTGACTTAAATTACAATGCAGTAATGAAATATTTTGACACATACAGCAGGTGACAAAAACAACTTAAGTGACTCAGTCCCTCTGTTCTGTCCAACATTGATTTCCTGTCTGTAATGTGAGAATGGATTACCTTTCATTCCCTGATTTGGAGGATCAGCAGAATAGAGGTGAAGCGGTGCAATGAACGGCCACACGACTTACTGCCACACGACTTACTGCCTCTCTATCCTAAATTTACAAACATAATTTTATGTGGAAGAAGCTTTATTAATTAAATGCACCTTTTATTGCTGTGGCATGAACTCACGCTGAATAATGCAGAAAACAAAAGCGTGGGTGGAAAAATCAGTGGCATCCCTACAATTTCTATTGCACAAATTATTAATCCAAGTTGTTACAAAAGCATGTGGCACAAAGCCCATTTTCTCTTAGCTACTCTTCAAAATGGGAAAGCCGAGAAACTGGGCTGTTTATTTAAAGTCTCTTCACTTTAATTTATCACAAAATATATATAAAAATGTCCACACGCCTATGTCGGCAACAAAAAGTAAAGCATTCAAAACAACTGGTGCCTATGGATAAGGAGAGCGCTGTCTTGAAAACTTCTGCTCAAATGCAGCATTTACTACACCTGGCATCAAAATATTTAAAGGAGACAGGAAGCACTAAGCAGTGAACATAGGTAAAGCGTGGATACCTCCACCCGCTCCGGAGTTGTCACTGCGAGTGTGGAAACCACAACTAGTGTACACTTCCTGTTTGCTTGCCTTTCCGAACATAAACTCAAGCTTGAAGATTTGTAAGCGGTGCATGTTTTGTGATTACTTCAACACCCAGGTTAAATGAATGAATTTGCACAGGTTTCCTTCATGGGAGACAAAACACATATCTGCAACCACTGCTAGACCTCTTTGCCTTTTCCTGTTACTTTGCATATTGTAGATAAGTACAGATACCTACAAAGGTAGGGCAAAGTAAATGTATCCAAGAGGCAGAGTCGATGAGTGTTTACATTAAGAAAACTGAGAAGCCTTTTTGTGTAAAGTCTGAGCTTTAAACAGCAGTTTCTTTTTCCTTTTCATTCCTACATGCATGCAAGGATATGCCTGCCTCCCAACAGACGCACACGGGATGTCAAAACCAACCAAACTGTACCTCGCAATATCCCAACGGTGCACATGGGAGTGATGAATGTGCACCGTCCAAACCCAACAGAGAAATTATTAATATTACCATCCTCAGCTGTTCTGTGTAATTACAGCATGCTGGGCCATTATCACCACCAAAAGCAACTATGTGGTATGAGATTTAAGCAACGAGAATTCAACTTCTACAACATCTTGATGGTAACTTTTGAACTGCAGAAAATGGGTATGTGGGGTACTTTTGGGCTGTGGCACATACATTTACTAAAATGACTTATTTAGTAGATTTTTCTTAGATATCATAGCGAGATGTAGCCATGACAAAACTTTTTTTTTAGTAATACAGTGAAGGCTGTTTCTGTAAATGCTTGATGACCCAAAGGAGCACAATGATCTGGGTTAACGCAGATCATTTCTCAGTTTTCTCAGGATGAAAACTGAGAAAGTCCAATATCTCCAGTGCTTTTTATCTTGTTAATTTTAAGAGCATTTATTGCTCACCAATGCCTGGATTTGCTTTTCCACAGCCTAACTTCATGTCCAACGTCACCCAACACAAATAACTATATTACAGTGGTCACAAAGTATTTGATTCATCCAACCAACAACACCTACTGTTTCCCTAAAATGATAATGGCTTCCAGCTGACAAAAACCCCAAATTTCTCAGAAAATTTTAACATTACATCAGACCAATAAAAAAAGGAATCTCTTTAATGCAACCATTTTATGCTGTGGTCTTCATAATTAAGGAGAAGCAGGCTTTTCACAGAATAAATCAATAAATGGAAAATTGAGTGGAAGAAAAAAAGAGAGTAAAAGAAAAAGGTGAACAAGCAAGAGAAATGACCTTAGCCTTTAAATGATTGTGTGGCAAAGCCCATTAGAGAGTTTGGAGAAGATTCAAAAGCCAAAGGCTTGTGAAGTGTTAAGAGTCACCACACAAACATATCTGTGTTAAGCCATTCCTGAACATTAAATCTTCGAAGTCTTCCCCGAATACTAGAAGTTGCTCAAAGGTCCAACATCCTGTTTCCGGAGAAAGTCAATTTTGCATCTTATTTGGAAATCAAGTTTCCAGAGGAAGACGAGAGAAGCAGAAACTTCGGTGTATTTGGAAAGCCATGTCATCTGCTGGTGTTGATCCATTATGTAGTATAAAGCAGCTGTCAGAGCAGCTGTCTACCTGGACATATTAGAGAAATCCCTACTTCCTTCTGCAGACAAACTAGGGAGAAGCTAATTTTATTTTTGGGACATGCCTACACTACCAAAAGAAAACCCTCATTTTAATAACATTATGTATACTTGAAATGTATTTATTTATTCATAAATTTCTTTATAAATAAATAAACAAATACATTTGAGGTTTTCATTAAGTGTGAGCCATAACCATCATATTTTACAGAAATAAACACTTGAAAACATATATGTTTTTATGTGTAATGACTCCACACAACACATAAGTTCCACTCTGAAATAAATGAAAGGAAATCAAGTTTTTGATGACATTCTGACAGATGCGCCTGCAGATTGGGTGTACAAACGAAGCTGAATTTTTAAAGGTTAATGTTTCCCTTTATCCATCACTGTCCATCACACAGGAGAAGTTACTGAAGCAGGAATCTGACGGGGGAAAGAAACATGTTGGCCCATACACATGGGTGGGGGTGTCTGGCTCTAATCTTAGTGCTGCAGCACGCAGACATCCTCTTCTCTACAGATAAAGCGTATTCTGATCAGCGTGTGGACGCCCACAGTAAATAAGACGAGGACTGCATGTCTGACATAGAGGAAACGGAAGGACAACACTAGCTGTCACCATGAAAGGTCACTGCAATTATTATTCATCTAAATCTAAATACTCACATCTCTGAGTAGGGGAGAGCTCTTGCTCATTTAGCTTTGAAAATGTCCTTTTTTTTTTGCAGACAATGCAAAAGAAAAAAAAAAAACACCCACAGGTGTTCTTGTGAAACTCCAGACGCTGCAAGAGTTTCACTTCTGAGCAACATTTCCTCTGCCAAGTCATTTCAGCATTACTTGTTGCACGAAAACAGGAATTCAAACCTTCAGCCAATAAAATTAGACAAAAAAATAGGAAAAAAAAAAAAAAAAAAAAAAAAAGGTCTCCCTCTTGGCAGCCAGGCTCTCATCTCACTCTTTCAGTCATTCCTGCTCTCTGTATTTTAAGACTGAACAATTATTTTTTAATTTCAAAATACTTTTTAATTTTTTTTCCTGAAAGGACCACTCTGATTTCAATTATTTGTGCATAATTTAATCCCCCTGTTTAAAATGTCCATAAAATGTATTTATTTATTTATTCTAGGATGAGATACAGTTCCAACCGTGATTTTCTGCTCTAATCAAACATTAATATCACTGGGTAATGATATTAAAGTAAAACAAGAAGTCTTTCTGTCAATCCAAGGACAGAAAATAAGTCAAAACACTAAGTTCAATTTCTTATTATATGTTGCCACTTAAATAATACATTTAATAATTATAATATTTACTATTATTAATCATACTGTACAAATATGTCATCTAAAAAAAATAACATGTCTAATTTTAAAAAGTAAATTTACATAAATTAATGATTTTATTAAAATTCTTCTGTTGAGTTCAATTTTATTTTACTTTATATCATTTATTTATTTTACATTGTTTTAACACCAGCACTCACTCAAAACGTGCCAAAAGAGCCCGGCGCGTATACTCACAGCCCTTTGTCCCCGTATGTATTGTAGAACATCATATGGTTACACGCCTGGATCCACCCGATGGTCCACGTCTCGTCGGCCGCCATGGGCGGCACCAGGAGCCGCGCTTGAGCTCGGAAGTGCGGCGTCCGGTAGCGCAGGACCACGCTGGACGCCTCGTCGATGCTGGTGGGTTTGGAGTCGATGGACGTGTTCAGGTCCAGGACGAGGACGCTGTCTCGGAAACTTTTGGGCTTACACTTGAGACTCTGAATGCAGCCCATCGCACTGAATTGTAACACAGTCCACAAAAGCGCCCAAAGCTCTGGAGAAGGAGGCGGAGGAGAAGAAGAAAGACGCATGGAAACAGCAGGGAAGAATCACCATGAGTTTTTGGACCTAACACGCTCCTTTCTCCCTCCCTAACCCTCCAATAATAATAATAATAATAATAATTTAAAAAAAGGTCTACAAAACCAAAAACGCCTTTATATATCAAGGATGACAAAAATGGTCATGCGTCGATCCGATACTGTGACAGCAGAGGAAGGCAAGCCAATAGAGAAGCTTCACAGCCGCAGAGCGCATGCTTTCCGGTGCGAAAACGCAACTTCACTTGCAGAAGTTGGCCATCGCAACTTTTCTGACGCGCGCAGCTGATGCGCCGCATGCTGTCAAGATACAAAAACAACTGCACGGAGAAGAGTGGGGGGGTCTACACACCGATTTGACAAGCTCGTCGAGAGGCCGCCGGTAATTCTGAGCTAAATTATTAAAAGAGCTGCCAATGTTACATCTTGGAGTCGGATTTCCGTTTGTATAATTCATCAGAAGATAATCCGCAGGAAAGACGACGACGTCCAGCCGGTGACGTGAATCATGATCAAAGATCGCCGTCGTGAATCTAAATGAAGCGACTGTCTGAGGCATGGACAGGCTCCAGTCCACATGCTCTCCATTTAGAGCCCCAATTCCGCATGGAAATGTGACTTAACGAGTTAAGACAGCTGTATGTCGGATTAAGGGTTCGTGCAGTGTGAATGCAGGAGTTTTGTCTATTTATAGCCGATTTAAAAAAAAAAAAGAAAGAAAAAAGAAAGAAAGAAAAAACAGCATGCAAATCGAGGTCTACCTATAAAACAATATAGGGTGCAATATATCCAGCGTCTCCAGCGTAAAATTCCTGGAGTCTACATGAGCAAGGCGTCGACTCGCACAGCTCTTCGGTCTGAGAGGTAATTCCGTTACCCCCCCTCCTCCCCTCTCCTCCTCCCGTTATTCTTCTCCACGGCGGCGGCTGCGGTAACCGTCCCGCCGAGAGAGGAGAGCCATCCCCGGCAGAGTTCACGATGACACGGGCGACATCCAAAGGACACTGTAGGGTCAACGATTTGGCCCCTGTTCCATCGGTAACATAGGACTATATTTTCTTTTAAAAAAAACGGAAAAAGTCCGAAATCAAGAAATCCACAACAAAAAAAAAAGAAAAAAGAAAAAAAGATGACAGACCTAATCCAAACAATGCATCTTGTCACATTGTTGAAGCCAGTGGGTCGCGTGCGCGCATTTCGGGTCGTTACGCAGCTGTTGGAGTGAGGTTCCTGAGCGAGCTGTCAGATAGATCTCTGTCACCGTCCCATCGGAACGACGGCAGGTTCACCCCGCTGCTCGCAGAGCCGCCGGAGAAGCAGCTTTATAAGCATCTCCATGACGACACTTCCGCCTTGAGCACGCTGGGAAATGTAGGCAGCGTGAGCTTCACCATAATTACTGCATAACAGACAGCTCTCTATATATAGACTATATGAAGTACCACATAATGCAACTTCTTCTCTCCTTTTTTCACGTTACAATCACACTAACTTTATTGCATTTGATTGCGTTTTTTTGTTGTTGGTGTTTTTTTTGAATATAACAACATGAAATAGCATATAGGTGATGTGACAGGGAAATGATTTTTTAAGTCTTTTGGAAATGAGAATATAAAAAGTGCTGCAATGCACTTGTATCCAGCCCTTCCAAGTCGATACTTTGTAAAACCACCTTTCTATACAACTGTCAGCTAACCCTAACACATATAAACTGACACTTTTGTTCTAATGCTTTTTTCAAAATTTCATCAAAATCATTCGGCCTACAAATTGAAAACTGTTTTTCTTCTTGTAACGTTACAAAATGAGAGCCAGTTCACAGGGCGTTTGAATACTTCTGTAAGGAACTGTGACATAAAGCTGACGATTGTCCGTCACTGACCTCTGTGGATGGGTCAATCGTAATTAAATGCACATCAGTTTTAAAAACATCTGAGTCATTAGCAAAATGTGGCCCTATTTAAAATAATTCTGAGAAGCCAAACTGTTTTTTGGTTTGTTTGTTTATTTTTAGACAATGTCAGATGTCGTGAAATGGTGGCAAATCTTATATTTTGTAAAGTTGTCAGTTCTACTATTGTGATCGCTGAAATCGTCACTGGCCTATTTTGCCCAACCTTATAGTTTCTAAAGGCATATTTGAAGTTCTAAACTTTATTTGCACTCAGGTGGGGTCTAATTGTCAACATTTCCATTTTCTGTTTAACACTGTTGTAAATTCCTAACTTGCTCAGTTAAACCGAGATGTAATAAATAATACGTAGGACCTCAATGTACATAAATATGTCTCCTGAAGTATTTTAAAATACTTGGCAGACAACTTTGCCAAGTATCGTGGATTTACTGCAGATCAGCAGGACATAATTAAAACTGTCACTGCCTCTTCAACCAGATCACATTTGAAAGGTTAACCTGCTGGTGTTGACCACAATATACCTAGTTAAGCCCATTGTTTGCGATGGATAGGGTCAAGTGATACATTGCAGAAATTATTAGAGAAATAGTGAAATAACATTAAATATTTGGTTTGGAAAATAAAAAATGTGTTTTAATATGAAATAAATCATGTACTTGTTCTATTCTAATGATAATTTACCCTAATTATTATTTAATAAAGGTTTTTATTATTATTATGATTACTATAAATTGTGGCGTTTGGAGATCCACAAGAAATGAGCCTATATTAACTTTGTGTTGTGGGTGTTTTTTTTTGTTTTGTTTTGTTTTTTTTTAAGCACCTTGGAGAACTCCTCTTTACGTCATGGCGCACCGCTTCATCTGAATCCTGGTTGTGCGTGAACTACGTCAAAACCTGCGCCGCAGCACCATATGCAGCACGGACACAGCTGCATTGTCTCCCTCCTTTCTTCATACTCTCTCGGGTTTTGCTACGTCCAGAATATGGCGACTCGCTCCCAGGATGTGAGAGATGTGTGACGGCTGCTGCCGGGAGGATGTGATGCCGGAGGTGAGACCACAGCGCCGCGGCTTGCGAGTTAATTGCTGAGCTGTTCTTGTATTGTTGCGCCTATCTGAAATGCTCATGTTGATATTTGCTTGGTTTTTTTTGTTTTTGTTTTGTTTTGTTTGTTTTGTTTTTTGTGCTCATGCTGTAGGTTCTCGGGATTGGCTGGAAGCTGGTGCCATTCAATAGCTGCGCTCTGCCCGTCTGCTTGATATAAACAACATGGACATCGCGCATTCCCCACACACTAAATATAGCTATTAAGGCCACAGGAGGGGGAGGACTGGTGTTATTCCGAGACAGTGGGCCGTCGTGGTGAACTCGAGCCACCTGAATTACCTTCCGGGGATTTTATCTTTTATTGGGGCCTCAGAAGGAAAACTCGATTCCGACCGAACATGCCCTCGGCGAACAACGTGAGATCCAGGGCGCGGGAGAGGAACAGCGTCCTGAGCAGACCCGAGTTCATGTCTCTGAATCATCAGCCCCTCCGCGGCGGCGCCGGGCCCCCGGAGAGCCGCTGCGGTCCGAAACGCGCGCCTCAAACCAAGCACCAAGCGATCCAGAAGAGCGAAGAACCTACCGAGGGCGGCAGCAAGGACAGAAGAGAGTCCACCAAGATGCCAGAGGAAGACTGCATGCAGCTCAACCCTTCCTTCAAAGGGATAGCAATGAACTCCCTCCTCGCCATTGACATCTGCCTGTCCAAACGAATGGGGGTGTGCGCCTCCACGGCGTCCTCCTGGGGAGGCTGCAGGTCCATGGTGGCCCTGCTGGCGCTCACGGGGCACGGCATCACGTGGATCATTGGCACTATCGTATGTCTGACACGGAGCAACACTCTGGCTGGTCAGGAGGTTCTCGTCAATCTGCTGCTGGGTAAATAAATACCACATCACGTCCACCAAGTTGCAGCACATCGGGTCATTATTTGGGAATGATTCTGATTCGCATCCACTTTTGCCGCTGCTTTGTTTCTTTGTCTCACGCATAAATTCTTATAAAATCTGACACATCAGCTAAAATGTTTTCAGCTAATAACCTTTGGTTTAATACAAGGGTTTATTGTAAGTGTTATCATCAGAAATGCATTATTGTTTCACAAAAACAGAAACATGGGTGAAAGCAGCGATTAATGATCCTGATTCTCCCACTGTGAGCAGAAAATTCTAAATTAAATGGCATTTTTAAATAACTTAAAATATATATATATTTTCACTTGGTCACAGTTAAATCAAGGATCAGGATGTTTACATTATTAACAGGTTCTATATTTTTTCTATATTTTTATGAGAAAAAAGTACACAGTGTATAGCCACACCAAAAGCTTCTTATGCTGAAGAAAAGCATTCCATATAGCATGATGCTGCCACCACCATGCTACACCATAGGGAAGGTGTGTCCAGGATGATGTACAGTGTCACTTTTTTGTTCCATAAATTTTTCTGATGCAAGTTCAATTTTAAGACTTATAAGAAACATGTTTGCTCTGTAGGCTTGTGGCAAACTGCAGTGGGAAATTCTAATTCATTACTTTCAACAACATGTTTGTTTTTGCCCTTCTTCGACAAAGGCCAGATTTGTGGATTACACGTTTAATTAATTAGTCATTATTCAACCTGAACTGTGGTACAGGGCAGCTCCTCCAGAGTTGCATGGTCCTCTTCACTGCCTGAGTGATTAATGTGATTAATGCCATGTTAAAGTAGGTTTGCTGTTGTTGTAAAGTGGCAACATGTGGAAAAGGTTTAGGGATATGAGTAATGTAGAAAGTCCATGCCTATGATATGCTCAAAATAATGCAAGCTCCAAAATAATGCAAGAACAACTTAAAAACATTCAAGCGTAGGTAGAGTGAAATCTTGGAAAATCCCTTCTTTTTGTGTGATTTTAATCCCATGTGAAAGGTGGGTTGTGTAAAGGCTTTACCAATCTGTATAAAGTTTATCAATTCAATATTTGGAACATGTGGATCAAGAAAAATGTACTTGCACAATGAACAATAACTCTTGTATTTAGCATTTTAAAAAATTATTTTATTGTCAAGAAGTTTGATAGCTTACTATCTTTTAGAAAGTTCAATTTTATCTCAAAATTTTTTCACTTTGAAACTTTGGCTTTGCTTACTGCCATATGTTAAAAACTGCTTCGATGACTTTCGAAAATATTTTAGACTTTTTGCCATATGTTTGCCTACACTGAGAGTGTTTGGGAAGGCTGCTGTTTCTTTTCCACTCCTTTTTTTTTTGTCTCTCCACAGAGACCAGATAGTTCGATCATATTTTTTATTTTATTATTATTATTATTTTAATTTTGGTTTTGTTTGTCCACTGGCTTCAGACAGAAACAAGAATCCTGACATTCCTCAAAAAAAATAATTACATTTCAGAGTTATCAGCGTCTTTCCCATATTCAATTTATTTTGGACACATAAGACAAACATCAAACTAAAAATTTGATATTTTCCAATTACAATAAGATGTTTTTCTAGTTTCATATTTGATGCTAGGTTATATGCGTAGCCTCAATCATCTGTGACACACAGATGTCACAGATGTGTTTGCAGTCACATGTATGCAGTCAAATGCTCAGTCTCAGTATAAAATACAGATTAATCACATGGAAATCACAAATCTGCTCACTGAGGCCATGCTGGAACTGATTGGAAGCCAACAAATCTCTGGATTTAGGACACTGTTGCATTGTGTTTGGGGTATTATTTGAGCTCCAGTGCTTGTTCATACTTGTGCTTGTTGAAACTATCACTTCCCTTTTTATGCAGAGGTTTTTGCATTATTATCAATCGCTGTAGGTTTAGCAGAAAACACTATAAATAGTTTATTCAGTTTTATTAAAATGTCTCAAAATTTGCAAAGAATTTCAATTCTCTGAGTTAGAGAAACATGCTTTTTATAATTCTTAATGAACACAACATATCTGTCCTATAATCAGGTTGTATTGAAAATTTGTTTGTTGGAAAGCCAATGCCTTTTTACTCCTCGTATTTTGGTATTTTTCAAATAAAATTGTAATATCTGAATCTTTAAAATGAAATCGAATATTTGAATATTTAGATAACCTCCTGAAACCACATTTTGAATGCCTTGCAGAATCATTCATATTTATAAACTTCTGTCACCGTTGAACACGTCACGACTGAAATTGCAATTGCATTTTATTGGAATTTTATGTGACAGACCAACACAAAGTAGTGCTTAGTAGTGCAGGAACTTACCCTCCCACCTCCATAGTCTGTAAAACCACCTTACATTCCACCTGGAAATGTTTTGGGCCATGTCTGCTATCTGTCAGAGAGTGAATTTGTTTGCCCTTTTCTTTTTCTAAATTGAATAAACTAATCTGGATAGGATGAAGAGGATCTCTGAATATCAAGTTTTGCCACAGATTCTCTTAGGTCTGGATAACTAACAGTATATGTCGTAATGGCCACATGAGCAATATTTATAGATAATATGTTTGATAGAATATTCAATAATAATTATTTTCAGCTAACTCCAACCCAAAGCCACGCAGCTTTCTGGGGGATGTAAGCAGAGGAAAGACTTTAGCTGTTCAAAGTCTCACGGTCAGCTTAGCAAGGTCTGTGGCATTAGCTAAGTCACTCACTCTTTGGTTACCTAGCATTAGCCTGTTGAGTAACATGTGCAGCAACAGTTTAAACTTCCCCCACTGTGCCTCAGTACTGCTTAAAAATAAACAAGGGCGTGGAGAGAAAATTGTGGATGAAACAGGAAAGGTCATGCTGCCAGTCTGGCACAATTTCAGACATCTAAAACAAACAAGCAAAAAAAAAAAAAACCCTAATAAATTATTATCAATATCAACTGATATGAGACACTTATATTGTGTTGCATTTTTCAACCAACCCATTCTGCCCTATTCTGTTTTGGATTAAGGTTTGTACTTTGACTGGGCCATTCTAACAAATGAATATGTTTTGATTTAAACCATTCCCTTGGTAACTCTGGCTGCATATGTTCAGTGTCTTGCGGCTGGAATAAATAGCATTATGAGAACGCTGAATCAGGGCACCAAAACCAGTTTGTCAAAGAGTTGATTTTAAGTGAGCGACAATGGCAGACTTGAAGTTGGAGATAGCAAAGGGGTCGTGGATATTTCTGGGACTGTCGCTGAGTTATAAATACTCTACAAATCTCTGGCATGCGAACTTGGAGCAAATGTTTCTTGGTATTATTGTATGCCACACTGGTTATTCTTAGTCACCAAGATATCTCTTTACACATTTATTCCAGTTGTTTTCAGACTCAGCAGGATTGCGAGACCTTAAAATAATGAAACAAGTACACACAGGTTCATAGCCTTTAAAAATCACTTGCAGTGATTATCCAGAGGTGTAAAGCAGGACATTGTACAGCTTATCTTAACCCATGTGAAAGTCAGATTACTGCATCCATGCTTGAACAAATACCAAAGATCGATAACTTGACATATTCCAAGAAATGAGAGAACTTCTAAGTGACATTAAACTTTACTGAAAAGCAAGGGAATTAAAAATAGAAAAGCTGATTCCAGCAATTGACTGCATGTCATCTGTTTTGGTAAACTATATCATAATTTTGAATGAATCTGGCCAGAATCACCAGTGAATGCATACTTTTGACTATAGCAAAGCAGATGTATTAGAATCTTCATATATACAGTATGAATATACCATACCACTGCCTCCGGGTGTTTCCTGGTCAATCAGTAGCAAATGTTTTTCAGAGGAAGATGCACTATTTAGTTTTAAAATGGCACAAACACAATTTTAGGAGTGAATTATTTCACGTCATTTATTAGACTGTTTTGTTGCCTGTTATTTTCAGCAAATCTGTGTTTTTACTATTTCTAATACAGTGTATATTTCCACTTTTTTGTATTTAACATCGCACATTGCATATCGCAAATCTTTAAAAAGAAAAGCTAAAAGGAAAAGTCAGAGCTACTGTCAATGTCGTGGATATAAACTAATGACTCCCTTAGTGGAAACATTTATGCAGTGAAACTCTTTGAACATTTTATGCACAGCATTAAGATTTTGATTCTCACACTCTCTTTTTTTCTTATAGCCCTCATTCTTGATGTCATGACGGTGGCTGGAGTCCAGAGACTGGTGAAGCGCAGAGGACCGTGGGAGATGACGCCGGGCTTCTTGGATTGCGTCGCCATGGATGTGTACGCTTTCCCTGCTGCTCATGCCAGTCGGGCTGCCATGGTCTCCAAATTCCTGCTGTCTCACCTGGTCCTGGCCGTGCCGCTGCGCATCCTGTTGGTGCTGTGGGCCTTCCTGGTGGGCATTTCTCGAGTGCTCCTGGGTAAACACCACCTAACTGACATGGTGTGTGGCTTCGCTCTGGGCATGTTTCACTTCAGTCTGATGGAGACGGTATGGCTGTCCTCAAACACTTGTCAGACTCTCATATCCATAAGTACACTCAGCTGGAGCCCTTTTTATTGAGCTTTGCTCGGCTTACATGATGCTGCAACTAATATTTCAACTGTGCAATACTGCAGACTTTGCTCTTTGGTCTCAAGGAGCTATTTATGCAGCAGGGAGGTTTTACTAAGCTGTGACCACAGAAAGCTGATATTTGGATGCAGATGCTGACTTGCATGCAATAAGCAGAAAATAAATAAATTAAAAAAAAATTAAAAAGTCACATGGGCCCCTGGACCCTTCAGGATTTTCATACAGCTTACTAAGTTCTAGATTTTATCTTTAATCCCCAGGTTTAGCAAACACTGAAGACAAAAAATCTCAAAAATGTTATCCTGTTTTCATCAGTAATTTAACCTGGAATTTCTCTTCTGGTTCTTGATTGGATCTTGCCTCCATTCAATTTTGCTATGTCTCATTCTTCCACTTCCTTTCTTTGATTTTTTTTAAACTGACACCATAATGAACAGTGTAGGGAGTTGGTTGTAGTACATATCCTACATTTCATCATTCTTATTTGGCACTGATGTAATATTTGTATATTTTTGATTGATTTTTTGCACTTTTTATTGTGAAGTTCCACTCTTTACCCTTTTTTATGCAGCTGATTTGAACCATTTGTGCACAGATACCAAGGAGAATTCAACATTTTTCTTATACTTTCAAAAATGAACCTCACAAATTGTATTGGTTTGTCATTAAAGGCTCTCTGACTCGCTGAAAAGCTGCAGCATATGTGTGCATATGAAGTGTGTTTTGTTTTCTTTCTTACTTTTTGGTGGAACTTGTTTGATATTTAAAATGAACAATGTATAGTGTACATGAGTTAGCTTTGTACTGTGCAGAAATCTGTGTACAATGTTTACACTTTGTTGCTGCATCTCAAAAATAAAACCAGATGTACAGTTGCAAAATATGTCTTTGGGTTTTATCAATTCTGTGGCACAAAATTCCCAACAACAAAAACAGTTTTTTCATGCACAAATGATCGTGACTTGGGTTTCTTGAGGTTGACCAATTCTATCCAGGAATATATATTATTAATGAGATGTTTTCCTGAATCCCAGCGGCTCATTCTAATACATTCATTCGCTTCAACCATCACATGCACTTCACTGTATCACATGTAATTCAACAGGGTCAGCAAAAGAAGAAGAAAAAAAGTGTATTCGGTGAAATCCTAAGTTACAGTATCTTCTCAAAGTTTTCACACAACTTGAAATGTATGTGCCGGAGAAACAAGCACATACCGGTAAATTTTTCGAAGTAGCTGTTTAAAGTTGTCCCTAAATTACTGCATATGCAACATGAGATCTCTCTACCATGTGAAATGTTGGACATGGCCAAAATTGTATTCATTCATACCATTTCAATCTATTGATTCTTCATACTTCAATTATACTGGGACCCAAATATTCACAAACTAAACAAAAAGCTGTATTATTTCTAAAAGGAAGCAGCACTAATGCAATGCCTTGTGGTCTTTAACATAATGAGGAACTGAAACTCCTTATCCTACTTCCTGAACCTTTACAGAAATCATTGCATTACAAAGTTGTCTGCCAAGTTGGTCTATTAACAAAAAACAAATCCTATGTAAAATTGTTAGGTTTTGTTGTTGCAACATGATAAAAAGTGAAAAAGGTTCACATGCTGTTGAAAATGTTTGCAAAGTCCTGTAGTTATGATGAGTCAAAAGAGAGAGAGTGTTTCCTTGCATGTTTCACAGCAAAAGACAAAAAAACAAAAAACCTTTTCTGAAAAGTCTTTTCAAAAAATATTTGAGGGGATCCATCAGTGTCCAGCAACTGAGAACATTTCCTAGATAAACCAGAACAGCAAACAGTTTCTTCCAAATGAAGACATAAAAAGATAAGCAACTTGTAAACAACTTGTTAAAATTCAAATTTGCTCTAAAATGCCAGAATTTTTGCAGCTCTGTATCAACAGAATGGTTTGCTTCTGAACATGTGCAAGAGTCATTCCTTCAAAATCAAGGCCTTTAGGCTTGCCTGGCGTACAACAAAAATATTGTGCCTCTGGACTGTATCGGCCATGTGCATGCAGTCAGTGTTCACAGACCCCACATGCCCATCTGTTGTGTCTTTCTCCTAATTTTGAGCTGTGTTTCAGTTAGATTAAGACTCAACAATCTTTAGGTGCCTCATACCTCATATATCGCATCTGCAGCTCAGTGCATGTTATTATGGTTACTATTAAATTATTTTGCCATATTTTCGCAAGCCTTCGTGAGCATCCCCAATGATAACTTCAGACCTCTGTTACATATGATCCATGAAAATACAACAGTTTGATAAAAACTCCTTGTGTGTTTTCAAAAGCTGAGTTTTAGATACCAGCACAGCTTCCAGATAAATTATAATTTTGCTGGTTGGAGGAGAGTGCCCTCTGGAGGACAGTGGCAGTTGTTTTTGTGTCAAAAAATGTCATTGCTGGCTGAAAAAATAAATAAAATAAATAAAATAAATAATAATAATAATAATAATAATATAATAATAATAATAATAATAATAATAATAATAATAATAATAATACGATTTTGGCAAAGCTATCTGAATGCAATGTTGTCAGATAGCTTTATATTCCAGCCTGTAGAAAATGATGAGGGTGGGGGGCGGAAACAAATACGAAAACTCACCATGACATATATCTGCTTTTTTAAAAAAAAATGTTTATCAAAGACAAACTAAATCTATAATGAGTCTGATTTTACATCAAAGTCTGTTCATTAAATTATTATATATTTATCTCATGTTGCACATGATAAGAAAGTAATAGCTTCTCTTACTCTTCAAACTACCCGCACTTCTGCTCAAACATTAGTGTTTAAGCTATTAATACGCTTTGGTAAAAAAAAAAAAAAAGTATTAGCTTCGGAGAATTTGTGCTGTTAAATAGAGGTCACAGTAGTGCTTGAATTACTTAAAAAATTGTTTTCATGAAGCCTTTTATCATTTGATCAAGCATGAACTTTTAATTTTGATCCTGTTTTTTCTTTTTTTTTTAATAATTCGTTGGATGTTTGTGTAATGATTAAATTTGACCAGCAGGTGGCAACCGCTGAACTCGCCTCGTTTACGTACGCCGATGTTAGCCGAGTCAATCCAGCCTGCACTGTGTTCTTCATTCTCAGGCCGGGTAGGACCCCAGCAACAACTCTACGATCGGTTCAACCTATGAAGATTGAGCTTTACAATCGCAATCCATCCTCCGAATAGACAACGTTTTGTGGAACTATATCACTGTCACTGAGCAGAAGACATTCTTAAATTGTTTAATCCGGTGAGTCCGAAATTCGGAGTTGTGTCAAATTGTCTGCCTCGTATTTTTTTTCTCGGCTGCTCAGTTTTATGGTTGCTTTGTTCTGGGCAGCAGCCATTTTTAATCGCCTTGTCCTACATTCCCCGTCGCCGTCTACAGCCCGTTCAAAAAGCCCAGCAAAGGTTGAAAATTATTACTTCGACACAAGGGCTTCACAGTGACTAAAACTAAAAATCCACATTAAATTATATGTTCTCGAACTGAAATGCACTGTCAAATTTCTGGCCTGTATGGGGTTGGCTTTGCAGCAGTACGCTGGAAGTTTAACGGGATTGTCGTTTCGCTAGTTTTCCTCCAACAAGCTTCGGCTGTCGAAGGCAGTTAGCTGAGGCAAAATGTCTGCTCTTTTCGTCTTTATAAAAATAAATGCAACCAAAGACAACAGAGTTACAGTAAAATTGATGGAACTGCAATAAAAAATAAAGCTACAAGAGACACTCGCTAGCATTTGATGTTTACATAGGGTTTCTGATTTAGCCGTCAGAATACCATATCCAAGGTTAGCGGTTACACATTAAATATTCTTATCGATTTTAAGTGTCATATTTAGATATCATACCATCTTATTTGTTGAGGTTATAATTCAATATAATATTATTCTTAAAAAAATTATTGTTCGGGCTTTTCCCAGCTAAGTGTTTGTTGTCAGATTTCAATGCTAGCATTAGCATTAGTACTAGCTTTCAGCTAAACAACTGACAAGTCGATACGAATTGCTTAAGCGGAGTTATTATGATTCATTATGCTGTAGTGCATTCTGGTATGCGCTTACGTGATTTCTAAATGTGAAATTATATGTTTTTGGATCTAAAGTGTTAGCTTTGAAGTTTCTAATGTACAAAAATGAAGCAGCTGCTAGCTTGAAATTTGGTATTTGTAGATACTTTTTTGTAAAATAAAATGTGCAATATTTCGTCGGAGAAATAACCGCCATTTATCCATTCATAAATGTACAATTGAAGTTCTTTGCGGATGGATGTACTTCGTTTTAAGTCAGAGTGAAACGCCTATGCGGAGTCCAGTCTCGGGTGGCCTCCAACACGTTATTGACTAATTCTCGGATTAAATGCCATCGTGTCCCGTTATGTTTACAGCTGGATAACGAATATTTCAGTGTCCTACAAAGTGCTAATATAAACCTTTGTTTATATTAGCATTAGATGTTTTCACAAATTTTTATCTCATTTTTTCTGATGCATTTCATGATCTAATACATATAGTTTATGTTCACGAGTTGTATTGTAGGTAAAAGTAAATACGAGTTGCTGAAAGGTATCAGGATTCTTGCTTTTCTCAGACCACATATTGAAATGATACATTGATTAATAATTTACTTTTCTATCAAAAGTAGATATGTCCGTATTGTGAATAATCTGTATGTCACTGCTCTTCTAGACAGATCACATTTTTAATTTATGCTGAATCTGTTAAGATAAGTGTGACATCTGCGAATCTGTATGGTGTGGTCTGATTGGAAGTCAATGTGTTTGCTTTGTGTTTAAGTGTCTTATGTGTTCTTTTAAACATGTTGCAATTACTTTTGTGACACATATTTTGTAGGTGTCTAGATATTTTATTTCAAAGCAGTATTTTGATACAGATATTTATGTTTTCGGGAAAATGTTCAAGACATTCTTATCTCTGGATGATACAAAGTTAAATTGAGCAGTTGAAAATTAACACTGTGAATGTGGCTGTTTCAAAATGGGCATTCTGTCAACTCTGCAAAAAATACCAAAACAAAAAATTAATTCAAAAAACCACAGAAAACAATTACTTTTGTCCAATAATAAGTTCCTGATTGTCAAATCACTTGCAAAGTACCTTTAATGAACAAAAACTAAAAAGATTAAATGTAACACAATAATAGGCTTTCTTTGTTGTTTTTTTTGCTGATTTTGTGTTTAGAAGTGAAATCTGAGTTGAGACGAATGCCTGGGCCTTATAAATATTTTCAGGGGAAAAGAAGTGTTTACAATCAGTGTGATATATCCTATACTTGTTCTTGAGTTATATCTACTATTCCAAGAAATAAAAGTTGATGTGGCTATTGATACAGAAATATCTGTATCAATAATAATCAAGTAAAACCTAAACGATTCCCTGCTCCCACATCCTTTACCAATACTCTGAACTACACATAGTAAACACCCATAAAGCCCCCAATAATAGTAACTGGGTTGAAAGCTTTATTTCAGTTTAAACAATTTAAACAAATGCATGACAAATAGTTTATTGTGAAGCACTGAACTAAGAGGAACGCTTGAGTTGCAGTCAATTGCAGCACATCTTGTTTGTCGTGTTCAAAGCTGCATATTATCAGGATAACATACTTTTGATATTGTTTTCCATTACTGCCATTTTTCTAACCTTTTTGGAGAAATTTTAATATATCAGCCATTAAATCTGGTGTAGGTAACAAAGGTATTCAACTTGCAATTTGACATTGTATGGAGCTGCAGAAAGACACATTGCTTATGTCTGTGCTCTTTCAATACCTGGGATTTACACTGATTTTTTGGTTCTGTTCAGATATTGCTAAAAAGTCTGGGATCTTGAGTTTGTAACACAG